TTCCACCCGCCTCCTGCCTTGTTCCACAGTCTGAAGTCCTTCGCTGGACTCCTCGTGCCTGGGAGCGAGCAGCTCAACCCCGCGATGGAGCTCCAGCCCGCCGCCTCGAGCCCGACGTCCGCCCCCATGCTGACAAGCAAGACCCCGGGTTCTCCAGCCACCACTAGCCCAGGATGCTGACCCCCCCTCCTCTCCTCTTTGGTTCTGTTAGGTCCTCTCCCTCCCCTCCCCTTCAGAGTGGGGCCAGGCTGTTTGTGGGGGGAGGGGGGGCTCGTTCCTCTTCTCGGTGTATCCTGAACATCTGGGGTGTCTCCTTAACTCCCTTCCTGTTTCTGTGAGGGATGACACTGGAATTGCCCCCCCGTTAGGGGTGTTAGACACTTAGTAGGGTGCTCAGAGTGGAATTGGGGGAGGGGGCAAGGATCAGGATTTTGGGAGACTCCCAGCTGAATGTATTTTTGCTTATTCTTTGGTTTCACCTGAGTTTAATTTTTTTTCCCCCTGGTGGGGGCTGCATTGCCCTTGGATCCGAGGGGAGGAGCTCCGAGGTGTGGAGTGTAAATATATATAAATATGAACCTGTGAGGTCTTGCCTCTTCCCCCTTCCAGTTGGGGTGGGGGAGGCTAGGCTGGGAGCCTGCCCTCCCCCTCCTCTCCATTTGCTCCCCTGAGTTTGAAATAGGAAGCGTTGCGTTTTTAAAAAGGTGGTCGAGCTGGTTTGTTTAATAAATAAAACCAAAAAAAAAATTGTTTAAAAAAAACAATAAAATAAGAAGTCAAACTGGTGAGAGTTCTTGTGTTCTGTTTACGCTTTGGCAACCAGAGGTGTTTGAAGAATGTACTTTATTTCTGTCTTAATGCAGATAGGCATTCTCTGAAATAAGCCTCTGCCTGGAAAATCTTTCAGGAAGAATGTATCTGACAGTGTTAAAGCTCTTAATAGGCCAGTCCTCCTCTTGGTTTAGTGTCCGTCCCCCTTCCATCCTCGAAGCCCAGCGTTGCTTCCTTCCTTCCATTGGCCGTGCTCTCCTCCTTGGGGGGGGGGGGGAGCAAGAGCAAGAAAGGTCTGTGGCTCCTTTAAGACCAGCAGAGTTTTATTTCAGGTGTGCACGCACACTTCTGAGGGTGGGAGGGAGGGATTCTTCTGACAAACACAATTTACATTGAGATCATTATGCTCTGCTGTTTCGCGACTTGATCTCTCACACACACACACATTTGTGTGTGTGTGTTAAAAGGAGTGCATTGGGATAAAGGGAAAGAATTAAAAGGAAATTATTTCGACTTCTTCTAAAAAGCTTTTTCAAAAGATGTTTTTATCTTCTTTCAAAAAAAACCCTGATTAGGGATAACACTTAGATTGGATTCCGTGTTTAATGACTGGAAATAAATGGCTAAGTATTTAAAAATACACCCATAGTTCCAGTTCCAACGAGTTTCCATTTCTCCACTCCCGCCTCGCTGGCTACCTTTCTTCACTCCCCCTTTGCTTTTTAAACTTTCTCTAGCACTGAGTGGATTTTGCCCAGTCTGAAATCAACACATTATTTCACTTGGAGAGATCCCCCTCCCCAAACAGAAGAAGGAAGAAACAGCACAGCTTGCAAGCTTTATTAGTGGAAAGGAGCAAGAATCCCCCACTGGTGGACCTCCTGATGGCACTGGTATTTCTGGCCACTGTGGGATACAGAGTGTTGGACTGGATGGGCCTTTGGCCTGATCCAACATTGGCATCTCTTATGTTCTTAATCCAGGAGCACCTAACAAAATTTGTGGCAAAAATTCGTGAGTCCCTGCTCTCTTCTTCATATACAGCTAGAATGTGAGTCCATATATCTTGAAGAGTGGTTTCAAATGGCAATAGCAGGTGTTGGTAATGAGACAAGAAATCCTAGGTCTCACTTCAGTCCTGGAGCCTGCACTGTCTTGAGCTTCGTAACTCAGCAGTCTCGCTAATCTCCCTTTGACATTCCTTTATAAGAGAACTGCTACTTTTATGGCAGCAACTGAATGTCCTAGAAGGTTATATGTTCTATTGTTTTTAAATGTTGTTTCTAAGATTTATGTCCCTTTATTCTTTGCATCCTCCTGGACTGAACTGAAACCTAGGCGTCACGTCTCATTACCAACACCTGCTATTGTCATCACTTCAGTCTTCAAGATATACAAATGGACTCACATTCTAGCTGTGTCTGAAGGAGAGCAATGGCCAATGCTGATATCTCCATGCCTACTACCCCTCTGCATCTCAATCAACCCTGCTATTGTCATTTGGCATCTGAAATCACCATTATAAAGTTTGTCTCCAGTACCTCCAGTATATTTTATAGCACACATGACCCAATAAAAGCGACATTTATGTCAGATCTGGCCCTCATAACAAATGAGTTTGACACCTCTGGTGTAATGTGCGCTTTAGTTCTTGGGTGGTATGTTCAAGCAGAAGACTGTATCCTTACTCTGGGAATTCTTCCTTGAAATCCGGGCTGCAGAAAGTTGTGTCTGCAGGTTCTTCAGATCCCTGTTAATACAGACCCCGGCTGGCCCCTCCCACAGTCCTGACTGCTCCTCCAGAAGCTTACCAACTTCTCCTTGGCCTATAGATCTATGCAGGGCTATTTTGGGGCAGGAATGTACAGGAACAGAGTTCCGGCTGGCTCCCAAGTTGGCCACACCCAGCAAGAAATTAGGGTTGCCTACATTAGGGGTGTGTGGTCTAACATGCAAAGGCGTTCCTGCTACAAAAAAGCCCTGGGTTTTGACAACAAACAAGGTAAACAGAATAACTAGCAAAAGGTGGGTGTGGCCTAATGTGCTAATGAGTTCCTGCTGGGCTTTTTCTACAAAAAGAGCCCTGGCATCTATGTATTTGACAAGGAGACATACTTAGCCCAAGAGCCCTCCCCACTTTGGATTCTTTTGTGTGGCATCAACATTTCGCCTAGAATGGGGCCCTGAGATGTCTGCCAAGTGTGATCAGAAAGTGGGTGTGGCACTTGCCCAGCTTGGCTTCTGATTGGCCACTGACAACTTGATGGCTGGGCAGATTAAAAACATTGTTTCAGCAGCTGCCACTGCAGTGTTGGCTTTATTCTCTCATGCTCCTTTTCCCCCAGTGTATTTTTAATTACCCTTCTTATGGCAGCCATTTTGTGGGTTGCACCCCACCACCCTGTGTCAAAATTGCAAAGGTGCCCACAGGGTCAAAAAAGTGTGGGACCCCTCCTGCTGTAGAACCTGGACCACCCTGCTTTTTCCCTAGGGAACAGTGCTAGCAGACTTCCCAGAAGAATCAACCTGGTTGGCCTGGCCCCACCTTAAAAAAACCACTGATTGAAATTGAATAGCACACTGGTAAAATTCAGGAACCTCTTGTAATAAGAGTACAAAAGGGAGACGGAATAGCCAACCTGCACAACTTGTCTTATTACAAACACAGGCACTCCAAAAGAAAGCAAAGGACCACCTCACCCTTAATCACTGTTTCCTCCAAGAAGGAGGATTTAGACTTCACTACCCAGACCTGGATGGTGCCGGGCAATGCTCCCTCTAAGCTGTGGAGTCTTGTGAGCTACTGGCATTAAAGTTGTGAGCAAGATATTTGGCTACTGCATAAATTAGTTTGCTCTGGAGCCGTCCTTCCTGAGCCGGCTCACACCGGTGCTGGGTCAGCCTCAGGTAGTCCTCGGATGGGACCACTGTTCCCTCTAAACTGAGTTAGTGTGAGCTAGCTCACTGTTTTTTAGCCTCCAGCTCACACATTTTTATCTTGGCTCAGGAGGGATGTCTCCAGAGCAAACTAATTTATGCAGCAGCCAAATTACTTGCTCACAAAGTAGAATTTTTGCTCACAGGACTTCACAGCTTAGAGGGAACACTGGTTGGGACCGACGTTGCTACGCAGAGGCAGACAATGACAAACCACCCTCCGCTAGCCTGGGGGGGGGGGTTTTTGCTATAAGTCAGCTGCAACTTGACAGCACCGACCACCACCACCACACAAGGACATCGAAAAAGATCACCACTTCACCCTCCCCTTAAAAAAAAGAGCCATTTTATTGAAACCCACACACCAATAACTCTCACAGCCCCTGGAGAAGTGGCTTTATTTAGTGATTCCAGCAGCCGCCAGGGCACCCCCACTGGCCGAGAGAGAGGTCACAGCAACCAGACAGGGAACGATTGGGAAGGGAACTTAAATACTTGGCCTGAGAAGGGAGTGGCTGTTTGCATCGTGCACGGAGGGAAGGAGAGGCGAGCCGCACAGTCCACCTCCGGCCCAGGAGGGCGCCAGCAGCGGCCATTACAAGTCCTCGGCCACAAAGGCCTGCTGGGCGTTGGGGAACCTCTGTGGAGTGAAGCTGGGGTCAGCCTGCAGCCGCTTCTGCAGATCGGATTTCAGCTGGAAAAGAGAAGGAGAGCGGGGATGTGAAACGGGCTCGTGAAGATCAGCCCGCTACGTCTGCAGGTGCAGAGGAGGAGGAGAAGGGCGGGCTGCCTGCCCCACCTGCAGGCGGTAGCCCTCCTGGAGAGCCGGGTCTGCAAGGTCCCTGTGGAGGCTCTCCGGGCTGGTCAGGGGCTTCACGCCAGCCCCTTTGGCAGCTTTGCTGACCGCCTCGGACAGCAGTAGTTGGGGCCCGTCGCCCTGCATGGTCTGCGGAAGGGGGAGAAGGAGATCAGTGGTGGTGTCACATTAGCACAGACGTGTAAGCCCAGGTCTGCTCAGGCAGCGGTGAGGATTGGGGGTGGAAATGAGCCCTCCTCCCACAGCAACACCTGCTTCTCCCAACAGGCAAACAACACCCCCCCAAATGGTGGAGCTGCTGCTGGGGCCAGGTTCTTTGGCCACCTGAGCAAGCCAGTCCTGCCCCTCTAGAGGCACTTGGCACACCCATTCTGGGCTCCTCCAGTAAATGGTAATGGTTAACACATGGCTAGAGAGCCCCGGAATCCAGCAAAATTCATGGAACAGCCCAGCATGCAATCTACCAAGGGCAGCGCCCATGAAAAATCTCTACAGTCAACCCGAAGAGAGGCAAAGGCCCATATTTCCCGGCTTTTTTCTTGTTCAGGCTACTGACACATCGCTTGTCAGTGGGTGCGTTCAGACGGTCCATTTAGTCCGCTTTCGGCCCACCTCAGAAACAGATTTTATCTGCACAATCACACAGTCAACATCTGCCTCCCATCCCCAGCCGTCGCTTTCCGGCTCAAAACCGCTTTAACCCAGAGTATTTTGATACCAGGTCCCCAAGTGGTGTTTTCCTGATTCTCCGGTTCCAGCTGCAGTTTTCTGACGTCTGATCACTCCTGCGGTGTCGAGCCACTTCCGGTTTAAACCCCCTCCCCGCTCGAAAGCTGCCCGAGGCTTCCGCTTTTCACCCGCCATTTTTTTTAAAGCGCTGGCGGTGTGTGCATAGGCAGAGCTTTGCCACCATGTTATTAAAAACAATGTTTAAACGGTGCCTAGTTTTAGTGTTTAGACAAGTTCGGGGTAAATGTTTAAAGGGAAGTGTTACATGTCTTCTCCCCCACCCTACCTTGCGCCGCTTAGCTGGCATGCCGCTCAGGTAGGCGTCGCTGAGGGGAGGCTGCTGCTTCAGCTTGCGCTGGGACTGGATGTCCTCACGGATGATGGGCACCCACTCCTGGCAAGGAAGCAAGGGGGGGGGCACCCATTAACCACCGCCAGGGACCCCCTCCGCGGGATCCGGCCCTTCCCTCCACCTGCCCCAGACCGAGAGGTGGACTCACCGGGGGCACGGCGGCAGCCCAGGGCTCCGTATCGGGAGCGGGGGGCTCCCCTTGCTGGGGCTCTTCGTGCTCCGGCTCCCCTCGTGGCTGGGGCATGGCCTCCTCCGCCGTGGTGGCTGGGGCCGGGGAGGCGGCACTCTCGCGCTAAGAAATGGGGGGGGAGAGAAAAGGCCATTCTCAAGCTGTTCCGAGGGGGGGAGGGAGAGCGCCTGCTTTGCACGGATGGAGGCCCCTGGCTAATGCCCCCTCGTGTGTCCCCCTGGGAAACCTCTTGGGAAGAAGGGCAGGGAGAGTTGGCCTCTGGGACGAAAGACTGGACAGCTGGCACGAGGGTAGAGGGACCAACGACCAAAAGGGCACCCTTCTATCATTAGATCACTTCTTTGTCCACGACTGAACAGTGTTGCCTTTGCCACAAACTAAGTCAGTGGCCTTATGCGTAGTCCCCACGACCACCGATAGGCGGAATACGGACCTATCGGGCGAGAGGGCTGAAGAGGGTCTTCAGATAGTTAACATTCTGAAGCATTCTGCAAAGACGATTGTGTCGCACACCTGTGGCATGCGCACCCCAGCGCTTCCCACCGGCACGGAAACCCACAGGCCCCATAAAGAGGGGGACCCGCATCCCTTGGATTCCTCCCACTCGGTACCTGCAGGGCTTCGGGAAGCTGCTCGGCAGCCTGCAAATCCATGGGCTCTTCAGGCACAGGCTGAGGAGAAGAATTGGGGAGGCAATTAGCAAGCTCTTGTCCCTTTTCCAGACAGGGCTGCCTGGAACCTCTCATAGGCATGGTGGACCCCTAAATAGAACCTTCCTACCTCTCCCACCGCCACACACACACAAGCAAACAAGACGCTCACACAAATCAGGAACGGCTAACTTGGCAAGGCTCCATGTCTTGGGTGAGGCCCGGAAAGCCCCGTCGTCTTTGGTTTCGGGCGGGGGGCACGCCAGATGTCCGTCAAGGTGGCCCACACAGAAAACAACACTGTTTTGCAAGAGCAGTAAGAAGGACACCCCCACCCCCCAGCAACCCAGGCTCTCCCTCCTCTGAGCACCATCTCCCAGCATCTGCCCCCCCCCAATACTACGAGGCAGCACTGACATGATGAGAGCACCCCGCCACCCACAAAGAGGTGCCACAACACACACACACACACAACACGGCCTGTGGAGCAGAGCGGCCCCTCTCCACCCTAAACAGTCGGCCAGCCTCCCCCCCCCTTCTCCAGCCCGTGCCTTGTCACTCTTGCCCCAGGCGTTACCTGGAGGGGATCGCCCACCCTGCGGACATACTGCAGGATTTGCTCCTCCGTGACGGGCATGTGCTCCAGGATGACCTGCAACCGCATGCTCATCATGGTGGTGAGCCAGCTCACCAGGGACGGGTTGATGTCTGCTGACATCCGCCTCTGCCACCAGGGGTGGGCGGGGAAAGGGGAAGAGAAAGAAAAGGCCGTCAGGAGGGGAAAGGAAGAGGGGACTTGGCAGCCATCTTTTGCACGCGAAGAGTCAATGGGACTGGCCTCCCGCACAAGCCCTGCCGCTGCCAACCAGCCTGGGAAAGTCACGGGGGCTCCACGGCAGGCTATTCATTCTGCTGGAGATCTACTGGAGCAGGTCAATGCCTTTGAGCAGGCTGATACATGTTAAGTGAGCGGGGGGACAAATAAATCTTTCAGGCTCTGGGCACCACAATAGCGATCTCCCAATGACACACAGTGATGCATTTCTCTGCTGTGCTTCCTTCGTCTTAAACAGAGTGCCAGGACTCGTATCGAAGGCTGCGCCGCTTTCCACCAATCCCCCCATTGCGACTTGGGAGAGCCCCTCAAAAAGCACCCATTTTCAGTACCGGTGAAGCACCGTCACAAGGAAGGCCCTGTTTCAATGTGCTCCGGTCCACCGCAGCTTTATCCGGCGTGTCCTCCATAGCAGCAAGCATGATTTCTCCTCCTCTCCCACCCTCTTTGCTTCCCACAACACCCTTGGAAGGTAGGCTGGGCCAAAAAGTGCTTCACTGGCCCTCACAGCGGACAGGGAGATCTAAACCCACGGATTCCCCCACTCCTATTCAGATGGACTAAAGGCTTCATCAGCCCTGGGAAGAAAGTCTGGAGAAAGCAAGCGGGCCTCTGGAGAACTTCCACGCGTCTCTGCAAAGCTCCTGGAATGACTGACAGCCTGTTAAGCTACCGTTAACGTGAGCAAAGAAGGTGCCCTAGCGTTAGTGGCTGGGGCAGTCCAGTGAAGACGGTGCTAGGGCTTGGACTGGGCAGACCTGGGCGGAGATCCCTGCTCAGCCAGGCAGCCCTTGATGGCCACGCCTACCACTCAAGGTTGCCGCGAGGATAAAACAGGATAACTGCCATGTCTTGTCTTCTGGGCATGGAGCAGGGGTCACTCACGAGGGGTGGGAACTGTGAATTTCCTGCATTGTGCAGGGGGTTGGGCTAGACGACCCTGGAGGTCCCTTCCGACTCTGATTCTATGTACGTCACCCTGAGCTCTTCACAGGACAGCAGTTACACATTAGAGACACAGACGTGTCAAATCTGAAACTAGCAGGTTCAACTTGATACCACACGGTTGCAGTTTCCCCTCCCCCAGACTCCGGAAGCCTCAGTCTGCACTGCACCTGTGTGGTGGTGGTGCTCCTTTGCAGAATTCCCATTTGGATTTTCAATGCAAAAGTTGGGAGATGCCAGGCCGCCGTGGGCCGGGGTGACCCCGCACCTGGGAAACACCCTTCCCGGCCACGCTCTCGGCCCCAGCCCCTCCACCCCCTGCTCCTGTCCATTGGTTCAAACTGACCGAGCCCCAGGTGGCTCCTCACTCACAATGCGGTCGTGTTGCCCTTTTCTGCACTTTTCCCAAAGCTATAATATCCTTTTTAAGGTGTGGTGACCAGAATTGCACACAGTATTCCAGATGAGGTCGCACCATTGATTTATATAGGGGCATTTTGATATTGGCTGATCTGTTTACAATACCCTTCCTAATAATCCCCAGCATAGCATTGGCCTTCTTTATTGCAGTCACACACTGTCTCGACATCACAGATGTACAGATTGAGAAGAACTGGAGCGAGGACTGAGCTCTGGGGTAGACTGTTATTCAGTTTCTTTGGCTTGCTGACTGACTGACCCACCATTACTTGGAAAGTTCTATCACTCAAGCATGTTATTTAGGAGTTGAAATAATGTTCTGCAGGGGAAAACTTGTAAAAACTTGTACAGCAACCATCCCTCCAGACTGTGTCATAAACTGCAGTCAAATCAACAAAAACTATCGATGTCTTAAGATACTTTTGATACCCTGCCTCAATGAAAGTTAGTAAGCCAAGAACCTGGTCTCAGAACTAGTATGGGGTCTAAATCCTGCTTACTCTATAGGGACATATTCATTAATTCTGTCACTGACTTTTTATAGCTAATGCTTACACTTCTTAGCCAAAAGGCCGAGAAGTGATAATTCTGTCAATGATTCTGTTCAGGATTAGCCTCTCAAGAGCCAGGGAGAGCTCCATCACATCTCCCTGGAAAGCACGATGCTCACATTCCACCAGATCCACCAGATGTTTTGGTTTCCCAGGTTTCAGAATAGCAACTATCTTTGCTTTCTTGAATTCCCTGAATCTCGTGAAGAGAGCTGTGTTTCTCGAAAGCTTATGCTACAGTAAAGTTTGTTAGTCGTAAAGGTGCTACTCGGCTTTTTACTATTTTGCAGCAATGGACTAACACGGCTGACTCCTCTGGATCCTTTGAATTCCCCTGGGAGTCTTCCTGTTCTCATGGTGTCAGTCAGAAACTTTGCAAGCCACGTCCCAGTTAATGTGCTGCTGTTGAACAGTTCGCAGTCTTCAGGGCAGGTGCATTTCAAAATCTAGAGTTTCTTTTTTATCCTGATTGTAAAATCTCGATCCTTCAGAGCTCTGGTTAGGCATCCCAGTCAGACAACTACCTGGTTTCCTCGGAGCACAGGAGGGCTTGCGCCTAGTTTTTTCAACAGGCTCCAGGCTTCCCTACTGGAATGCCTGAAATCCTAATTCACAGTTGCGTCCGTCCATTTTTGTCTACGCACGGCGTTGAGTTCGTGGAGTAGTTCATCTGCTGCTTCTGGGTCTTTGCTGTTGAGGAAATTTTGGTACAGCTTCTCGCTCTGATTGCTCCGGCCTGGAAGGTTTATATGCAGCCAACACTAACTTGAAATCGGTCTGGGAGTGCATCTGGGCGCATGCACATTAATTCTCCCTCAGTCCCACTGGTGGACCTCCTGATGGCCCCTGGTATTTCTGGCCACTGTGTGACACAGAGTGTTGGACTAGATGGGCCATTGGCCTGATCCAACATTGGCTTCTCTTTTGTTCTTACACATGGCCTGCCATTGTACCTACGCTGCACAGACGGCAGGACACATGTTCTTGGGGGAAATCCACTTTGTTCACCAAAAAACCTAAATCTCCCTGGAAAGAAGAAAAGCTACACCGAATAATTTTGAGTAGGTTTGCATGGTTCCATGTGCTTGGCTCTGGACATCCTAATTTTCGCAGGGAAAGGAGGAAGGAAGACAGAAGCCTCTGGTCTCAGCAGCACTTGCTCCAATCCTTAAGCCTTTACGAGCCCCCGGTCCTATCACAAGGCCATTTTGAGCCCCAGGACCTACCAGTGACTAAGCCCAACACATGCCATTTCCACCTAGTTCCTCGGAGACCACAAACGGATCTGTGAGATGTCTTCATTGCCCATCCCCGCACAAGGAGGAAAAATAACTTCAATCTTTTGCCTCTGGTGCCAAATGTTTTGCCCACAGAGGCCTGCCACGCCACGGAGTAGCTGTTGAAGAGGCAAAGCACCGCCACCACACGCTTCCTTGCTCTCCTTTTCCTACCCCCCACAGCAAGCAGGCCGGAAGCTGACACCCCGCCGGGCACCGTGAAGCTGGGAATCGGAACACACGCTTCTCTTCTCCCCCAGAGCCACCTTGTAGCCAGAGTCTAGGCTTAGTGAAGAGATGAAGCACCTGCCCCTGCTGCTGCCTTGGCCCAGTGCAGCCTCTGCCATCCCTGCCGCACCACGGGGCAGCTTAAAGGTGGGGAGCCTATGAACCGTCCGTCTGCCCTTCTCTCTCACCCTCCCTCTCTCTGTCCTGGCATTACGTTGGGGGCTGGGCTGGTCGCAGTGGGGCAGGGAAAGACCGAGTGCTCAGAGGAGCCGTGATGGCAAGAGTGTCTCTTGGGGGCCCCAGCAGCTCACGACGGGGCCACAACACGTCCTCTGCCTAGACACAGGAAGGGGATGGTGTCAGCTATGCTGCCATGGGGGTTGAGGAGTTCATTCTGTGTCTTGGTAATTGCTATTGCATTCCTATCTCTGCTGTTCTGCCTGTGCCGCAATGCTTATCTCTACAGATGTGCAGGAGGATGTTGTGTTGCCTGGAAGTCTCCTATGTACCGTGAGAGACTACTGGTTCCCAGCTTTCGCCACCTAACGGTTTCCTAGCTGGTCCCACGCGCGGGAGGGTACCTAATTGGCCCATGCCATGGGGAGGTGCATACGAATGCCCTATATCCTATTATGCTCAATGGGTTGCCGCCATTCTTAACAGTGCCTGTGTTACTGCATCTATAGCTTTGCAATAAAAGTATAACCGTTCATGAATGTGTGTACTTCGTTGTAACACATTCTGACAGATGGCCTCCTTCCCATCTGGCTCTGGCTCCTCTGCTCTCCGCTTGGAAGGAGCAACAGGAGAGCTCTCGAGCTGGCACCACCCCTCTCCCTTATGGTGGTGCGGGACAGTCCCCCGTCAAGTCACGGCTGACCTACGGTGGCCTCGTGGGGGCTTTCAAGGCAAGAGATGTTCAGAGGTGGTTTCCCCTTGCCCACCTTCATCTCACAACCCTGGTAGTTACTCCTTGGCCGTCTCCCCTCCAAATACTGACCAGGACCAACCCTGCTTAGCTTCGGAGATCTGACGAGGCCAGGCTCGCCTCACCCGTGGAGGGCGCCCCCCCCACCCTTCTTGGGGGAGAGACAGCCTTGCCCAGCCATAGGCCGGCCCCCACAGCAGCCCCCGGGGATCAGGGCTCCTCCTGGCGGCGGCTGTGGCCACTTTCTTCACAGTACGTCACACTGAGCCATCTTGTCCCATTTTCACCTCTCTGCCTCCCCCGCCCACACAGGATTGCAGTCACAGCCATGCAAAGGCCACCATTCTGAAAGGGCACGGAAAAGCCATCTGATGCAACGGTGGGTACAGAACTCAGCTTCCCGGGAAAACTGGGGTTCTCGCTTTTGCAAAAACGCGTAAGAACACAGGGGGCAGGAGGTGCGAGATGAAACGAAAACCCCAGAGGGCAGGGGGCAAGGCTCCTTCCCCAAGGTGATCCAAGCCCAAATTATACTCATTCGTAGGAACAGCAAACAGACCCAACCCCAGGCATTCTCTCTCCACAACTGTTCTACCCAGCTCAGTGGTACCCAGGGGATTCTAACCCACATTATGCAACCTACGCAATTTGAAGGAGAAGAGATTGGATTTATACCCTGCCCTTCACTACCCAAAGGAGTCTCAGAGCAGCTTACAATCCCCTTCCTTTCTTCTCCCCCCCCAACAGGCACCCTGCTGTGAGGGAGGTGGGGCTGAGAGAGCTCTTTCAAGGACTGCCCTTGAGAGAACTGATGACTGACAGAGGGTCACACCAGCAGCTGCAAGTGGAGGAGGGAAATCAAACCTGATTCTCCCAGATTAGAGTCCACGTTCCTATCCACTACACCAAACTGGCTCTCCTCTTGTACAGGATGGAGCAGCCCTGGCTCTCTGAGAAGGCCCAGAAGGGACCCCATTCCCACAATGCCCTGGGGCATCCCAAGGGTTTCAGTGGCCAGGAAGGCATGACTGAGGCCTGCTTCCACAAAGCTCAGTGGAGGGTTTGCTCCCGAGGCTCAGCCTACACCCCTGCTATGTAACTGAAAGCACAGGACACGGAGAGGTGGGAACTGGGTCAAACTCACAAAGCTCTCGCGGATGTACTCCTCCAAGCCCACGCCACAGAGTAGCTGTTGAAGAGGCAAAGCACCGCTTCCTTGCTCTCCTTTTCCTACCCCCCCACAGCAAGCAGGCTGGAAGCTGACACCCTGCCAGGCACCGTGAAGCTGGGAATCGGAACACATGCTTCTCTTCTCCCCCAGAGCCATCCTGTAGCCAGAGTCTAGGCTTAGTGAAGAGATGAAGCCCCTGCCCCTGCTGCTGCCTTGGCCCAGTGCAGCCTCTGCCATCCCTGCCACACCATGGGGCAGCTTAAAGGTGGGGAGCCTGTGGACCGTCTGTCTGCCCTTCTCTCTCACCCTCCCTCTCTCTGTCCTGGCATTATGTTGGGGGCTGGGCTGGTCGCAGTGGGGCGGGGAAAGACCGAGTGCTCAGAGGAGCCGTGATGGCAAGAGTGTCTCTTGGGGGCCCCAGCAGCTCACGACGGGGCCACAACACGTCCTCTGCCTAGACACAGGAAGGGGATGGTGTCAGCTATGCTGCCATGGGGGTTGAGGAGTTCATTCTGTGTCTTGGTAATTGCTATTGCATTCCTATCTCTGCTGTTCTGCCTGTGCCGCAATGCTTATCTCTACAGATGTGCAGGAGGATGTTGTGTTGCCTGGAAGTCTCCTATGTACCGTGAGAGACTACTGGTTCCCAGCTTTCGCCACCTAACGGTTTCCTAGCTGGTCCCACGCGCGGGAGGGTACCTAATTGGCCCATGCCATGGGGAGGTGCATACGAATGCCCTATATCCTATTATGCTCAATGGGTTGCCGCCATTCTTAACAGTGCCTGTGTTACTGCATCTATAGCTTTGCAATAAAAGTATAACCGTTCATGAATGTGTGTACTTCGTTGTAACACATTCTGACAGATGGCCTCCTTCCCATCTGGCTCTGGCTCCTCTGCTCTCCGCTTGGAAGGAGCAACAGGAGAGCTCTCGAGCTGGCACCACCCCTCTCCCTTATGGTGGTGCGGGACAGTCCCCCGTCAAGTCACGGCTGACCTACGGTGGCCTCGTGGGGGCTTTCAAGGCAAGAGATGTTCAGAGGTGGTTTCCCCTTGCCCACCTTCATCTCACAACCCTGGTAGTTACTCCTTGGCCGTCTCCCCTCCAAATACTGACCAGGACCAACCCTGCTTAGCTTCGGAGATCTGACGAGGCCAGGCTCGCCTCACCCGTGGAGGGCGCCCCCCCCACCCTTCTTGGGGGAGAGACAGCCTTGCCCAGCCATAGGCCGGCCCCCACAGCAGCCCCCGGGGATCAGGGCTCCTCCTGGCGGCGGCTGTGGCCACTTTCTTCACAGTACGTCACACTGAGCCATCTTGTCCCATTTTCACCTCTCTGCCTCCCCCGCCCACACAGGATTGCAGTCACAGCCATGCAAAGGCCACCATTCTGAAAGGGCACGGAAAAGCCATCTGATGCAACGGTGGGTACAGAACTCAGCTTCCCGGGAAAACTGGGGTTCTCGCTTTTGCAAAAACGCGTAAGAACACAGGGGGCAGGAGGTGCGAGATGAAACGAAAACCCCAGAGGGCAGGGGGCAAGGCTCCTTCCCCAAGGTGATCCAAGCCCAAATTATACTCATTCGTAGGAACAGCAAACAGACCCAACCCCAGGCATTCTCTCCACAACTGTTCTACCCAGCTCAATGGTACCCAGGGGATTCTAACCCACATTATGCAACCTACGCAATTTGAAGGAGAAGAGATTGGATTTATACCCTGCCCTTCACTACCCAAAGGAGTCTCAGAGCAGCTTACAATCCCCTTCCTTTCTTCTCCCCCACACCAGCAGCTGCAAGTGGAGGAGGGAAATCAAACCTGGTTCTCCCAGATTAGAGTCCACGTTCCTATCCACTACACCAAACTGGCTCTCCTCTTGTACAGGATGGAGCAGCCCTGGCTCTCTGAGAAGGCCCAGAAGGGACCCCATTCCCACAATGCCCTGGGGCATCCCAAGGGTTTCAGTGGCCAGGAAGGCATGACTGAGGCCTGCTTGCACAAGCCCAGTGGAGGGTTTGCTCCCAAGGCTCAGCCTACACCCCTGCTATGTAACTGAAAGAACAGGACACGGAGAGGGTTAGCAAACGCCCCGAGGTTGGGCAGCGAGAAGTGGCAGCGCCGCCGAGCCCGGGGACTGGGTGGCGGCCGGCCCCGTCTCACCCGGACGTTGCGTTCGGTGGGCTCCTGGCCGTGTAGGTACTCCTCCCGGAAGAAGCGGCTGAGCTGGGGCTGGATCCGCTGCAGCGGCTGGAACTGCCCGTGCAGCAGCATCACCATGTCGACCATGGAGAAGTTCTGGCAGATCAAAGAGAGCAGGTCGCCGAAGAAGCCTGGGAACGGACGGGGCGGAGCAAAAAGAAAGGGGGGTGTCAGAGCCGCCAATGCGCCCCTCTTCTTTCCAACTCACAAGGGGACAAGGAGAACGGGACGCTCAGAGAAGCGGCTTCCCCTCGGCGGATAGAGGAGGGTGTCTCGGCTGAGAAGGCACCCTCCTCCACAGACAGGGAAGGCTGCCTGCTTCAGCACCCTTCTGGATGCCCTCCTGCCAAGTGCCACAGCACCACCGTGGTGGACTGCACTGCCCCTTCCCGTGGGCACAGCACATACAACTTGGATCCCTCTGGCATCAGGTCTGTCCCTGACCCCTGCTGGCTAGACCAAGCCCTTGGGACACTAGCCAGGCCACAGAAAAGGGAGGAACTGGTGGGAGGACACACTCCGCCATGGCTCGTGGGCAAAGGGCCACTGAAAGGGCAGAGGAGGTCTGGAAGGTCCACTGAGGGCTACGAGGCTCAGACGGGAGCCGGGAGAGCTCACTTGGGGGTGCTTTAGGGGTGCTCTCTTCGACTCAACACCCCAGCAACAAAATGGGGGGAATTAGATAATGGGGGAAAGTTGGCGTTACTAAGTACCAGAGGTCTGAGTGTAATTACAGAATAGTTGTAGAAGGAATATTGAAGGTGCAGTTCTAATTCAAAAATTACAAAAGTGTGAAAAACTGATTTTAATTGCCCTTCCCCTCTTATTTCCTCTTAAGCAGCAGTCTCTTTTGATGTTTATACAACACTTACAAAAGTTGCCCTTTGGATATGAGCTTATTTATTTATTTATTATTAAATTTATACCCCACCCAGCCGAGGCCGGTTCGGGCGGCTTACAGAAAGAGCTACACTGTTTTTGAAGCTGCACAGTACTAACACAATTTTTGGAGTTTCTGGCTTCCAAATTTGTCACTGCAAAGGTCGTTCATGATTGATAAAGATTGAAGCTGTAATAACTGTTCTGTGAAGTTACATCGTGCTGTAGACCATCAATTCGCTCCTGAATTTCTGTCTTCTAAATTAATTTGCATAAGGTTGTTCATGGAGGATGAATATCCATACATCAAAAAAGGAATTTAGCCAGCATACTCTTGTTCGGTGTCTTTTTTAGCTCATAAATTCCTTACAGATATGCCAAACTGCAGTATTTTTTCAATTTGCTAACTCTTTTGGATATGCCATTGTAGTGGTATATAATATAAGTGTCATTGTCATCATTGCAAAAAAAATAATTGTCTGATATTGTTCCTATTTATTGCTATTGTAGGCACATTATGGTGCTTTCTGTAACTTTGTGTAACTTTGTGATTACAATCCATTTTTCACATTTTTGTAATTGTTGAATATTCCTTCTACAATTATTCTATAATTACCCTCAGGCCACTGGTACTTAGCAAAGGTAAAGTAAAGGTAAAGGTTCCCTTGCTCGAAAGCCAGTCAAGTCCGACTCTAGGGTTGCGGTGCTCATCTCCGTTTCAAAGCCGAAGAGCCAGCGCTGTCCGAAGACATTTCCGTGGTCATGTGGCCAGCATGACGAGATGCCGAGGCGCACGGAACGCTGTTACCTTCCCACCGAAGTGCACTCTGTCTTGCGGCACACTCGGGTCTTGAACTGATGAACTACCGACCTTCCACAGCCTGCAGTTCAGCGTCTTAACCACTTGAGCCACCGCAGCAAAAAAAAAACCCAACCCTTTTTTTTTGCTCCTCTTATCCAGAGGTTTCGGACCTTTTTGTCATTCTGGAAGTTAAACAATGGCCGGCTGTAACAGCAAGAGAGCAAGAAAGAATCTAACGGAAATGCCTGGAATCCTCCAAGATCCTCATCGCCCTTTGCTCCGACTGGCAGCAGCTCTCTCATGGTCTCGGGAAGAGGCCTTTCCTTTATTTAATTCGTCTCCCAAATGGGGATCCCAAAGCGGCTCACGGCATATTCTTCTCTGTCTCCACTCTATTTTGTCCTCCCAGCAACCCTTGAGGTGGGCTAGGCTAAGGGTGGGTGACTGGCTCAAGGTCAGCCAGCGAGCTTCCATGGCAGAGGTGGGATTCGAACCTGGCTCTCCCAGATACCAGCCTGAAATTCTAACCACTACACCATGCCGGCTCTCCCATCACCTACTTCCTGATTCTTTACAACTGGAGGTGCCGGGAACTGAACCTGGGACCTTCTCCGTGCCAGACAGGTGCTCTGTCTCTGAGCCGCAGCCCTTCTCTCCCCCCCACCCTTGGACTTATCCTGCAAGCAGGTTCTGAAAAGCGGTGGGTCTCTCGTTCAAAAGGTTTGAGATCAAGTGGTTTACCCACAGAAGAGGATGAGCGTGCCCATTCGGGGAGCGGGAGACTCAGAAAAGCGGCAGCCCAGAGTCAAGAGGACGGGCACTTGAATGCGTCTGGGCAGGACCAATCCTGGAGGACAGGGTGTGAGCGCTACCTATCTCCACCGCCGGCTATGGACCCTACGGAGACTCCTTACCGAGGGCCCCCTCGGTGCCCGGCTCAAAGATGTTGTTGGTGCCGCTCAGGCGCTGGATGAAGTCAGCGATGCTCTCCGTGCTGCCCTGCTGGGCGCTGAGGGAACCCATCATGGACGACAGCACCCCCTGGACCACGCTGGTGAAGAACTCCGGCGGCAGAGCATCTGCCGAGGCACCGCCACGGACGCCGCTGCCTCCTCCTGCCCCAGCTGAGGGTGCCTCCGGCCCACTCTGAGGAGCAGAGGGGGGAGGCGGCGGAGAGGCCGCGGGCGGGGGCGGTGTCTGCTCGGGGGGATGTGGGGGAGCTGACCCCATCTGCGTTGCCTGGGGGGGGGAGAAAGAGGAGGTGGTGAGTCTGGCACAGCACAGGGAAGCTCAACAGCAAAGGATTCTGGGATGACTCCAGTCCCTCCCAGCGAAGCTCAGGATCTCACGCAGCTCAGACACAAAACATCACAGGGCACAGGCAGAGGGAAGGAGGGGGGCGGCACCTGGACCTTGGTATCTAAAATAACTTGCCACCATCTAGCATTCTGGAGGAGATTCTCTCTCTCTCTCTCTGAAGGCAGCACCAGTGGCGAAAGGCTCTCAACCACAGTGACACCACAGGAGAAGTCTGGAGGAAGTTTTGACTCGGGGCAGTTCAAGCCAAGCACATTTGCAGGCACTAACCTTCCTGAGGATTTCAGCATCCCGATCCCTCTGGCCTGGGTGGGAAGCTTGCCAGCCCATTAATATGGGTCCCTATTCACCCCCCACCTCACCTCATGGCCTTCCTTTCTATAAGGAACCCTCATTTCCTCTGGGCTAATATTCCCTCTAGATGCACACTCTCCCTAACCCTCTTTGGACAAATCTGAAAACATCATGTCCCCTGTCTTCAGTGCTAGACCACCACTGCCTCCAGCCCAGGATCGTCTCCTCCGAACTACCAATAGCTCCGCGAGGTTTCCAGCAAGGCTTTCCTTCTGCTTCATCGCCCAAGGTCAGCTAACTGGAGATGCTAAAGATCAGGCGAAGCACCCTCTATGTGCCAAGTGAGGCTCTCCCGGGACCCCGCCTCCAGGGGGGTCACCTGGGGCAGGCCAAGCTTCCCTGTGCTCTGTTCTGGAGATCCTCCTGCTGCATTCACCTGCAGGGAGTTCTGGGTCAGGGAGAACTCTCTGTTCATACAGGGTGACATCCCAGCTCAGCATGATGGATGAGCGCATCTCCAAGCCCTCCGCCACTCGCCTAAGCTCCTCATCAAGGGCAGTGTTCCACCTAAGCTGAGTTAGTGTGAGCTAGCTCGGTTTTTTAGCCTCCAGCTCACACATTTTTGTCAGCTCATGAAGGATGGCTCTAAACTAATTTATGCAGTAGAAGAGGAGACTGAATTTATACACCACCCTTCACTACCCGAAGGAGTCTCAGAGCGGCTAACAATCTCCTTTCCCTTCCCCTCCCCACAACAAACACCCAGTGAGGTAGGTGGGCATGGGAGAGCTCTCTCGAGAACTGCCCTTGAGAGAACAGCTCTGAGAGAACTTGTAACTGACCCAAGGTCACACTAGCAGCTGTATGCAGAAGCGTGGGGAATCAAACCCGGTTCTCCAAGATTAGAGTCTGTGCTCCTAATCACTACACCAAACTGGTTCTCAGTGGCCAAATTGCTCATTCCCAACTTTAATGCCAGCAGCTCACACAGTATAATCTTTGCTCACAAGACTCTACAGCTTAGAGGGAGCACTGATCAAGTGCCTACAGGACTCCCTGAGAACGTGAAACTCAAAAAACATCGGCTTAAGGAGAGGTAAGGAGGCGGACGGACCTGCCCGCCACAGTTTAACAGAGAAACCAACACAGGCTGACATTCTGGAGAGCGGCTGAGACCACCGAAAGCATCCTTTCACATTCCCAACTTTTCAGTCTATCGGGTCTTGCTCTGGTCCCAGGGAGACTGATAATGAGGAGCACCCAAGAGAGGCAGCAAATCTCCAAATCGAGAGGCTGCCGTTTGGCCCGGGCCTGGAGTGACTGAAAGGGCAAAGGGCTCACCTGCAGGAAGTCCGTCATGCCTTGCAGGAAGGCGGGGACCCCCGGCATGGCCACGGTGATGGTGGGGGACCCCACGCCGGCCCCCCCCGCCATGCTGGAGCCCGCTGCACCAAGGAGGGTCCCCAGCAGCTGAGTGAATAGATCCTCCTGCTGCATTCACCTGCAGGGGAGTTCTGGGTCAGGGAGAACTTTCTAGTCATACAGGGTGACATCCCAGCTCACCATGATGGATGAGCAGAGAGCGCATCTCCAAGCCCTCCGCCACTCGCCTAAGCTCATCAAGGGCAGTATTCCATCTAAGCTGAGTTAGTGTGAGCTAGCTCGGTTTTTTAGCCTCCAGCTCACACATTTTTGTCAGCTCATGAAGGATGGCTCTAAACTAATTTATGCAGAAGAGGAGACTGAATTTATACACCACCCTTCACTACCCGAAGGAGTCTCAGAGCGGCTAACAATCTCCTTTCCCTTCCCCTCCCCACAACAAACACCCAGTGAGGTAGGTGGGCATGGGAGAGCTCTCTCGAGAACTGCCCTTGAGAGAACGGCTCTGAGAG